TCTACACTAATAAAGAAAAAGATGCAAATTGACCATACCTTTGTAACACCCACCAGCCAATCAGGAGTGAGTATGAAAATACTCAATAAAGATGGCAGGTTAATTTGCATACACAGGTGTCAAGCGGCCAGGGGCAGGATGTTCCGCACTGCCCCAGCCACTCTGGGCCTCTGGACAACGTGCAAAGGCAGAAAGGCGGCTCAGAGAGAAGGCAAAAAGGCAGCTCCGGGCCGGAGTAAACACCATGCTGGCAGCCAGAGGAAGGAAGGCCCATTCTTGCACAAACCTTTGTGCATCAAGCCTCTAGTTTAGTAATAATTACTGTATGTTGGTGTTTAACTAATGGATTTAACAAATGATGTTAGTTGCTCTCCCATTTGGTTGGCTATGAGACATAAATCTGTTATACTTTCTTTCATTATTTTTGAACAGTTATTTTTAATGACAGCATTATTTCTACTTGATATATAAAATGTGTCAGGGAAATACAAGATTACTAACAGGCCCTAAAATTACCTAGGCTACTAGAATTAAAGTGCTACTCAATAGAACTTTTTGGACTCATCCACATAGTATTTCAAGATTAGTTGAAGCAGGAACAAGTTGGGCCCAGTAAAATACAATATGAAACATTGTAAGCCCTTGATCATTCTTATTTTAGTTCATTCAGGCAGCTTATAAACAACAGAATTTTATTTCATATAGAGGCCCGGTGCATGAAGTCATGCATGGGTGGGGTCGGCCAGCCATCCTGATTGGGGCTGATCAGGCCGGCCCAGAGAGAAGGGATGAGGAAGGTTGGCCAGCTGGTTCTACCCTTAATCAGAGGGACTGGCTGGACCCCACCCATGCATGGATTTGTGCACCCAGCCTCTAATATATAATAATAGGTCTTGAACAAAGGAATTAAACATAGAACTAGATGGAAATCTTACTGTTAGTGTAGTGTAAGTTAAATACTATGCTGTTTTTTAGTTGTACTTTATTTTAAAGTTAATAATGTAAGTACACATAGATAGTAATAATAATAATAATAATAGCTCTGGATGAAAATATTTTATTTCCTCCATTCTCCCTCTTATAAAGATAAAAATCTCCTGAGAAAACCATGTTATTGTTTATAATTATTTGAAGTCCAGGAGATATACAAAAAGCAATGAACTTACATAAATCAAAGGATTGCCGATTCTGAAGACATTAAAATTTTTTTTTTAATTTTGTAAAATTTAGAATCCCAAATTATAGCTGATGGAGATAATTTTAGAAGTATTTTGATTGATAAAATATTCCTTTAAGCAAATGTAGTTGCCACCTCTGTGTTCTCAGCACCAGGTCCATTTCTCTGCAGTGCTGCGAAGCACACAGCAGTCATTTCTTACTGATCTCCAAAGATTCAGACCCCACGCGGGGCTTGGTATCCTTGCATTCTCAGAATGTGCTCTAGTGCACTTCTCACAGAGGGGTGAGGCTGTAAAAATTGTGAGTTTTAAACATATCAGGTTAGATTAGGGCTAAATTTTTAATGTATAAAGTTAAGTTAGCAGGAAGAAAAGAAAATAGTGAAGAAATACAGTTATTTAGTTGCAACATTATACTCCAGTCATGGCCTATGTAAAAGTGTTCTGGAAACCTTTGAAATGTTAGATGCATAGAACTTGAAGGAATTTCCAAAGGCATCTATCAAAACCTATTTTTATACTCTGTATGATCTTATACAAATAGATGAATAATTTGTGTAATGTTGGAGTCGGGGAAGAATGAAAGAACAGAAGCAAGCAGCTTTTTTTATTTCTAATATCTGAGAAACTAGGTCTTTGTGAATATTTCTGCAGATTTTTTTTTTTTAATCTCTCTTGATACACTCACAGAATGAGAGGTGCTGAAGACAGAGTAGGTTGTTAATTTGACTCTTTTAAATCCAGTCAGATGTCTTTTGTATAGAAAACCCTTTAGACAATGGAAACGAATATTCATAATTTGGGGTTTATTATGTATCTGCATCCATTTAGACCATTTTAATCCTTTCTGAAAACCATCTTATTGCCTGGAAAAATAAAGGAACATAAATATTTAGGAAAAGCCTTTTGTTATTTTTTACTAGTTAAAAAAATCTTAATAAAATAAATCATGCTTAGCATAGCATAATTCTTAGAAAATACAGTTTGGCAAAAAGAATGAAATAAATACCCAAAGCTTGCTATCCTGTATAACTATTGCTTACATCAGTATATATGCTCTGTGCATTCTTTCTCACTCAGAGCTTAAAGTGAAATTGTGGCTAATATGTGTCTGGCAGATACAAAAACATAGGGAGTGAAAAAAATGCCACTAAATAGTTAAAGTCAGCTTTACTTTCCATTCAGAAGCAGAAATCAATGAAATGTTAAAAGGACAATTTTGTACAGCAAATAAGACCATGGAACATGATTTTCATGTGTTGATTCATTCATCCCCGACCCATCTACTGATGTTAAGCCTTCCAAATTCTAAATCATAGGTCCCTTTTATATCTTAAATGTTTCTCTTTTTCTCTAAACTATCTGTGAATATTTGAAATAAAATTAATTTTATTTTTTTAAAAAATATGTTTATTGATTTCAGAGAGGAAGGAAGAGTGAGAGAGAGATAGTTCCTTTTGATCTTTTTCAAAGTTGTTTTGGCTATTCTAGATTTTTCATTAGAATTTGGCAATTTCTCAAAAAATTACTTGCTGGAATATTCAGTGGGAATACATTGAATATGTGGAACCTTTGGAGAGAATTGACATCTTAACAATATTGACTATTCCAACCATGAACACAATATATCTCTTTATATTTAGGTTCTTCAGTTTTTCTCAGTAGCATTCTGTGTGCATATCTTTCAACTGTTTCATCAGATATATCCCAAAATATGTCACATTTTTGTGCCATTAATGGCATTTTTTTAAAATTTATTTCTTTGCTTCTTGTATGTGGAAATATGATTAATTTTTCTATATTTCTCATGTATTTGAAATCTTGCTAAAGTCAATTATTAGTTCCAGTGACTTATTTTTAAGATTCCATTCAGATTTTTTACACAAATGTGGGGCCAAGACCTGAGAATGAATACCTTCTTCAGTTTTCCTCCTTACATTTCTCACTTGTCTCAGCATAGTCTTATCTCTGCATAGACAATTGTATCTATAAGGAAAGAAAGCTTTGTTCCCTCTGTGTGTTGCCCATTTTTTAATAGTTTCAAGCAGGAGGGCGTATCTGGTCCTTTTGTTCTATTTTTTGCCAGGGGTGGAAAAAATAGTTTACGTGTCATTTGCTTTTTAATTTTGATTACTGGAGTTTTTTTATTTTATGTCAATGATAACTCTTTAAATGTTCAGGTAGCAAAACTTGTCTATCTTATATAATAAAGAGGTAATATGCAAATTGACCATCACACCTTTGCACAAGATGGCTGTCCCCATGTAATCACAACATGGCCGTCCCCATGTGGTCACAAGATGGCTGGCAGGGGAGGGCAGTTAAGGGCAACCAGGCCGGCAGGGAAGGGCAGTTGGGGAGGGACCAGGCCTGCAGGGGAGGGCAGTTGGGGGTAACCAGGTCAGCAGGGGAAGGCAGTTGGGGGCAATCAGGCCAGCAGAGGAGCAGTTAGGTGTCAATCAAGCTGGCAGGGGAATGGTTAGGGGGTAATCAGGCTGGCAGGCAGAAGTGGTTAGGGGCAATCAGCCAGGCAGGTAGGAGAGCGGTTGGGAGCCAGCAGTCCCAGATTGTGAGAGGGATGTCTGACTGCCCATTTGTTATAAAACCACTAACTTCAGTATACAAATTGACTAAACAGGCAGTTGGACATCCCTTGAGGGGTCCCAGATTGGAGAGGGTGCAGGCTGGGCTGAGGGACACCACCTCTGGTCCCCTCGTGCATGAATTTTGTGCACCGGGCCTCTTGTATTTAATAATAGAAGAATGCACAAATAAATTATACTGCTTCATTAGATATGATACTGTAAAGCTTTTAAAAATGATAATCATAGGCTATGGCTGCATAGTTCAGTTGGTTAGGGCATTGTCCTAATACCCCAAGGTTGTGGATTCTATTCATGGTCAGGGCACACATACAAGACTTAACTAGTAAATGCATAAATAAGTAGGACAACAAATCAATCTTTCTCTCTCTCTCCCCCCACCCTTCTCTCTCTTAAAAAAGTCAGTAAAGTAAATAAATGAAAATGGTAATTACATTGTTGTAGAAATATGAAAGATATTTTCATTTAAATTATTAAAATGTTAAATTACATTTATACCATAATATCTTGCATAAAATGTATATTAGAATTAGGAGAGATGGAGAAATAGTTTTCACCATTTTGCTTTGGGGAGATAGATTTGTGAATTTTTTTTATTTTTTTTTGCATTTTATTTAATTCTGTTATAGTATGCCTTTTTGTTGTGCTTGTTAATCCTTATGCAAGGATATTTTCTGTATTGGTTTTTAGAGACAATGGAAGGAAAGGGTGAGACAGAAAGAGAGAAATGTGAAAGAGACACATCCATTGGTTGCCTTCCAATGTGCTCTGGGGCCAGGGATTGAGCCTGCATTCGAGGTTTGTGCCCTTGACCAGAATCGAACCCACAACCCTTTAGTTCACATACTGACACTCTATCCACTTTGCCAAACCAGCTAGGATGCCTTTGATTTTGTATATCATTTTTTTCTATACATTTATATTTCAAATTAGGCTTTCATGCAATTGTTATATTTACCAGACCAAGATAATGCATGGCTTTCAAGGCTCAATTAAAATACTTCCTGGCTGGAAATAATCTGAAATTTCTTCTTTATGGTTTATAGCATTTAATAATTTTACATTTTGCCAGTCACGTTGTCTTATTGCCCAGTATTTGAAATGTATTGTTCAATTTCTTATTTATTTAATGCTACAATTACTATAATAGTAGGTGGCTTAATTATTTCATTACACTCCTGCTGTTATGATTTGAACTAATATAGATTCATTTTTCTAGTTGCCCAGCAGGAGGCTGACATGTTCAACCACTACAATGGAACACCTCCATTCCTCGGAATATACCAAAGTCAAGAAGCTTTATGTTCTAACATGCCTCAACAAGGCTCTCTTCAGATTGAGGACTCTGTCCACACAAAAGATTCTTCCATGAAGATGCAGCAAGTGATACAAAGACTCAATTCTGTCACAGTATGTTTATTTTATGCAGTTGAGAAGTTGGAATTTTTAAAACTATTTCTATCCTGTTTTGCATTGCCATGCCAATAAATATTAATTGAATTAAGTAAGTAAGTGTATTTAAAACTAGGCTTTTTTATATTTTTTTTTCTAGTACTTGTTATAAAATCACTAACTTCAGTGAACAGACTGAATTTAGGATAATCTATCATGTTTTCCTGACTTGATATTTCTGTAAACATCAGCTTAGGATGTGTTTCTTTATTTAAGAATATCAGTGTGTGGCCCTGGCTTGTGTGGCCCAGTTGGTTGGAGCATCATCCCATGTACCAAAATGTCCTTGATTCAATTCCTGGTCAGGGGACATACCCAGGCTGCAGGTAGGGTTCCCAGTAAGGGGGCATGTGGGAGGCAACCAATTGAGGTCTCCTCACATTGATGTTTCTCTCTCTCTCTCTTTCTCTCTCTTTCTCTCTCTCTCTCTCTCTCTCTCTCTCTTTCTCTCTCTCTCTCTCTCTCTCTCTCTCTCTCTCTCTCTCTCTCTCTCTCTTTCTCTCTTTTCCTCTTCCCCCTCTTCTTTCCTCTCTAAAAGTCAATCTAAAAAAAAACATATATATATATATATATATATATATATATATATATATATATATATATATATATCAGTGTGTATATGTGTGCATAGGTATATCACACACACACACCAAACACTAACCTGGGAAAATCTATATATATAAAAGCCTAAGTGACTGTTATGACCAGCCAACGGAACAACTGGCAGGTGCTCAATGCAGGAGCTGCCCTCTAATGGTCAGTGCACTCCCACAGCCAACTTCCTGTAGCCAGCCAACCTCCCTCAGCCCTTCCCTCCAGTCTGCCAGCCCCTATTGGTTCAGTTTTGTAAATCTTGAGGCATTTACAGGACCAGAGTTTGGTTTGCTTATGGAGACTGTCATAGCATTAGCGTTGTTTCAGTGTAAGAAATAAGATGAGCTCCAAAATTCAGGGATCCTGGTAGAACACAAAGCACACTCGGGAGCCAGACAACAAGGCAGATTTCTTTACTCCTGCGGGAGGGTGCGCAGCACATGGTCACACACTGAGCAGGTGGTCCGGTCCACTCCCCTTTTTATTTCTGACTCATGTGACCTGTCCCTCACTCTTAATTGGAGCTCAGGCACGCAGTCTTTCTCAATTGGCTAGTTCAAAGGGAGGTTTAGCCTTTGCCATTTCAAGATGGTGGCCCCCAGGGGAGCTGCAGGTCATGGGGCCAACATGGTGGCTGCCAAGTTACGCAGTCCAAAATAGTGGCTTCCAAAACTATTCTTTGACAAAAAGATTACCTGTTTATTCTCACACTCAGTATAGGCATCCTTGTTTAATTAATTTTAACATTGGTAAAAATGAAGATGCAGGTCATAGATTTGGGATATATTTTGGAAGTAGATTTGATAGCATTGTAATAATCAGGTTACTATTTAACAGGAAAGGATTAAAGGGAAGACTAGCTAATATAGGCATGCCACTTACACAGCTTTGCCAAAAAGCTGCATTTAGCACTCCAAGTCTGCTGTCCCATTGACAGAGGGGGAAGAGGCAGGACAAAGCTAGTTAGGGTGCATGCTCCAGTGAGGTGTGAGCGACAGGGAGGTGCCTGCTTCTCAGTCAGCCTGGCAGTGAGCAGGGGCCAGAGCAGGGCGACCACTGCCAGCATGCAGAACCTGACTATTTAAACTGCTTGACGCAGAAGCAGGTCTCCTCTCTCTTCTCCCCTCTCCCTGTGTACCCCTGGGGCTCCCTGGCTCCTGAGGCAGGGCTGTGCCTGGCTCCCATGTGGCTCCTGGCCATGTGCCACTCCACAAAATGGACTTATTCCAAGCAATGGTGGAAATCAAGCAGCACCTGCAGGGAGGGGGACATGTTTGTGACCCTACGTCTATGGGTAGTGTAAGCATCTTTTCTGTTAAAATGTAAAACTAATTTGAAGTTTCTTTGCAGCTTGAAACTTCAGAAACTCTACTTCAGGTAAATATTACCTAAAGCAGCTACAGTGATTCGTCTTGTCAGTGAAGGGGAGCAAAGTTTGCCACCCAGAATGTGCCTTCTGGGCTTTTGGTGTTAAGCTAATTATTAAGAAACAAAAAATGAAGGAAAACCCTGGGACCCTCCCCCTTTCTTGCAGAAGGGGCACCACAGGGCTGTCACCCACCTCCCAGCCCCGCCATGCTTTCTGGTTTGTTTCTGGGATTTTTGCTGGGTCTTTTCTGCTCCTGTGAGTTTCCCTCCCATCTCCCAGCTGCCTTCTCCTTGGTCCGTGAAGGCCCAGAACGCCTTTGCTGCCCAGTGCCTCTGGGTCCATTCTCAGGGCAGCCCGTGCAGTGGGCACTTTTCTCCTATTATTTCCATTATTAGCCAGTTAGGAGGATTTAGAATATGGGACGAAAATTACCTTGTGAGTCCCCACATAAGTATATATGAAATGAAATACCTCTCCCAAATGTTTTTAAATTTAATCACTACCTTTTTAACACGAAAATGATTCCCCTCCTAGAGAATTAGTATTTGCATGTTTTGTGCAAAGGTGCTTGTACCCTGAAAGACTAGGCAAAACAGTTTTGTAATGAACTTGGCAGAAGTTCAGGTGATCACTTTCCCCTTTTTCTCTATTGGGAATTTGATTAAATTTGTATGCTTTTAGTTTCCTCAGCATGGAGGCCGTAAACTGACGCTGGCAGAGTGTGGTTTTGAATGAAGCAAGCAGAAAAGTGCGTTGTGAAAAGAGGGGAGATCGGTGTAGGGTAGACTATCTTAGCCAATCCTCCTGTTGTTGTAAAATATTAAGCAATTCTTTTCCACAGCATGTATTTCAGAAATAGAGATTGCTTCACTCTTTTTAATGGTTATTATGACTTTTCTTCCTCTAAATGAAGTAGTGAATATATGTAGGCCAACTTTGAAAATACTTTGAGCTCTAATTTCAAATCACTATAATATTTAGTTATCTCAGACCTTAAAAATGAATCATCTGCTGGATGTTGCTACTCATCCTGAACATTTGATAGTCTCTAAAGAAATGTGTCAGGAGAGAGCAGAATTAGCAAAAACAAAACAAAACAAATGCTTTAGGAAGAACATATAATTATAGATTATAATTGTTTTTGTTTTTTTTTGAACAGCATTTTATTTAAAAAGTGTGACAAGTCTTTCTGTTTGAGTGGAAGTATTTAAATGTATCCTATTTTAGGCTTCCTGGTTTTCTTTTAACTTTAGCACAAATAAACTTCTGAAGAGGAAGATTGAAGCGTGTGTGTGTGTGTGTGTGTGTGTGTGTGTGTTTGTTTCCCTAGAATACACCTGTTCTTTTGCACCAGATTTCAAAATGCATTGTTTGCCATGTAGGATAAAAATTTTCAAGAACACAGAAGTAAAACTGAAAAATGATTCTAAAAAGAGAAGTAGACTAAAGAATTAAATGATAAATATGTCATTTTGTTTATAGTAGTTTAATTTAAAAGTTTACTCTTTACTCTCTGAAAACTTTACTGCATCATCATACTGCATTACAGGTGTCTCATTCCTCTTCTAGTGATGTTAATAACTAATATTTATGTGGCACATGCATAGCACTGTATGGTTTCCCTTTGCCAATATACTCTATTCAATCCATTGTTTTTATTTTCTTTTTAAAGTGTTTTATTTATTTTTAAAGAGAAAGGAATGGAGAGAGAGAAAGAAGCATCAGTTGACTGCCTCCTGCACACCAACCACCAAGGATCAAGCTGAAACCCCGGTATGTGCCCTGACCAGGAATCAAACTGGCAGCCTTTTGGTAAATGGGACGACACCACCAACTGAGCCACACCTCCAGGACTAATCTGTTTCTTCTAACCTAGTGCTCTATGGTTAGCATATGTGACTAGCACTCTATCCAGTTCACCTTTATTTCTCACATAGCACATTCCCATTGAAGCATACATACTACTTTTATTATCTCCATTTAAAGATGGAAAACAAATCTAAAAAATGTTAGATGATTTCATTATCTTAGGTATGATATTAATATAAATAGTCAACATTAACTTTGATTAGTGTTTGATAATGGCTGTCATAGCTCAGTGGTTGAGCGTCGATCTAGGAACCAGGAGGTCAAGGTTTGATTCCCTGTCAGGTCAGCGCACATGCCCAGATTGCAGTCTCGATCCCCAGTAGGGGATGTGCAGGAGGAAGCTGATAGATCCATTTTGACTCACTCTCATCATTGATGTTTATATATCTCTCTCCCTCTTCTTTCCTCTCTGAAATAAATAAAAATATAATTTTCAATGGCTCCTCATAAAATTTTTATTTTTTTCATATTTATTTATTTATTTTTTAGAGATGGAGAGGGGGGAGGGAGGGAGGAAGAGGGAAAGGAGGAGAAGGAGGAAGAGGAGGAGGAGGAGGAAGAGGAGAAGGAGGAAGAAAGCATCAGTGTGTTGTTCCACTTATTTATGCACTCATTGTTGCTGCTTGTATGTGCTGTGACCGGGAATCAAACCCGAAACCTTTTGATGTATGGGATGACACTGCACCTGCCCAGGGCTTAAGAGAACTTTTAAAGCTGGGTAATTGTTTAGCACTGATGTGGTATTTGACCTGATCTAACTACTTTGAAAAATACTTTTCTCTTTTATGAGATGATATCTTAAGAGTTTTAAAATGTTAAGACTATATTATTACTATATGGTCTTAATTAGTTGACTGTTTTGCCAAATATATAATATAAATAGGTCTTTGCCTCAAGAGAAAAATCTCTAAGAAATACCATTTACTATCACTTTGAAAGAAGAGAAGTGTTTACAAATAATGAGTCAGATAAAGGGCACGTAACCGCAATCTACTATTTAATACAAAATATCAAAAGGGGATCTTTGAATGCTTATACAGGGAAGTCTTGTGTGTGGTTTGATCATTTTTAAGAAAAGTGAGAAAAAAGCCAGCTATTTTCACATACAAGGATTTATATACCATAAACTATCATTTAACATTTTGTTAATTCATAAATTATATTTACAGTAAAATTAGAAATTCAGACTTTCAGATTTTTCACAATTAGATCACACTTTCTTGTGATTTTGAAAGTGACAAAAATAATAAATATATAATGAATAGTTTATTAATAATGAACAAAACTAGGTTATTCCCAAAATTGTAAGTTGTAAGATGAATTTACTAGTAAACATTTAATACATTTTTGTGAGCTATTCTTATTTTTCTGAAGTTATACTATCATACTTTTATGTATTTCACTTCTGAGGGAGACCATTGTACTCAGGTAATCAGTTTTTTTGTTTTATAGAACATTGTTTTTTCAGAAATATTGCTTCATCATTACTTAAATGCTGTTTTTAAATGGTGTCTTAAGAATAAGGCTTTTCGATGCAGTGGAAATTGTTTCACGTGGCAGGTTAGGTTGCAGCTGTGTTATCTGTGTCACCATGATGTATATAAACAAGAATATTACAGGTGTTTTCTGTGCAGGCTTTTTAAAGGAAGTACCTGCTACTTCACAAATGCTAGAGAAATGTGGGTCTGAAACATTTTAACTCTTTCTTAATTGAAAGCTGTCAAGGAGTTACTTTCATTTTTTGCATTTCTTTGCATAACTGTTAAGACCACTCCATTTTGTGTTATGAATAATGTCAGTTCCATGATAAGCTAACTTGTTTTATTTAATAAGGCTGGTTTACTTTAATTTAATTACACTTTCATTGCCATTGTTTTCCTTCCTTTGATAAAAATACTATTCTGTTTTGTAAACTTTGAAAATCAAGCATAAAAATCTTTACCACTCCCTTTCACCTACCATGTGTCATCGTTTGCATTGTAAGCAAATCTTTCTCATACAGCTTTTGCATCAGTAACCCAGGAAATTACGCTTTTGTTTCTGATTTGCCTTTCCTATTACAGGTCAACAAAAATCTCTCTTTTACTTCAACATCAGCCTCCTCACAACAGTCTAAGTTAAAACAGTCAGACTTGCTGGACACTCAGCCTCTGCGTCAGTTTGGTTTCGCTCAGACTGGTGAGCCCCTTTCTTATGACTATTCTTTTAAATGTTCACATGCTATTTTCTTCATGAGGATTGTTTATTTCATTTTAGAAATATAGCTCATAGCATTGTAATGGTCTGTTTTCAAACTTGAATTATATTCTAGCATCTTTTTTTTTCTTCAAAATTCACAAGTTATTTCAAAAGCAAATTTGAACTTGGTAACTTTAATAGTAAATACTCTCAACCTCTATTCCATTGAACAGGTAACAAACTAAAAATAGCAAAACATGTGAGTTTTAAACATGTATACAATTAAATCTGATTCTGTTTCCCTTAGGTAAAAGACCATAATTGATTTTATATGTTATAATCTACTTCAAGGAATTCAAGGTAAAATGTGTTTTGGCAGAAACAGGCTCCAACCTGTCAGTGATATCATGTTCTTCAAAGTTGGCAAAGTAATAAGATATGCAAAGAAGCTAGTTGTAAAAATCTACATGAATCACTGAGTTGAAATGAACTATACAATGCAAATTTTTAGGCTAATGTTTTAAAATAATTTGAATAAGGTTTTCAAAGGACATCAAAGAGAAAGCATTTATGTGAGAATGTGACTTTGGGGATGGAAAGATGACTATTTCTATTCACTAGCTGTATGTTTTTGACAATATTTTGTATATTATTGATTGTTTTAAAAATTGAGGCAACTGAGAATACCTAATTATCTTCAACAAAAAGATTATAATAAGAAACTTTAGCTTGAAAAGACTGACATAATTTACTTAGAAATTTGGGGACAATATTACTTTTCTAGTTTGAAAGTGTTTGCAGTTTACATATACAAGTTATTTTAATATTGCTTTATAAGTTACATATTATAGTGGGAAAATATTTGGATCAAGATTTTTATGTTCACTCCTGGTTGTGCCTTTTTTATAACTTATTACCTGTGAACTTAAGAATATTCACTTTGCCGAAACCGGTTTGGCTCAGTGGATAGAGTGTCAGTCTGCGGACTGAAAGGTCCCAGGTTCGATTCTGGTCAAAGGCATGTACATTGGTTGCGGGCACATCCCCGGTAGGGGGTGTGCAAGAGGCAGCTGGTTTATGTTTCTCTCTCATCGACGTTTCTAGCTCTGTATCCCTCTCTCCTCCTCTCTGTAAAAAAATCAATAAAATATTTAAAAAAAAAAAAAGAATATTCACTTGGAAAGTAGAAATGATATTTACATTATATTCTGTTGAAATTCAAATTACATATCACCTATGAAACACTTTGTAAGCATAAGGCACTATACAATTATAACATACTTAAACTGTAAACATGAGTATATATAAGTTAGCTTTAAAAATACATCGTTCTCTAATTTCAAATGAGTATAATGATTAAGTTATCCCAAACATCAGCTATCTTAAATTTCTAATGTTCCAGATATCTGCTAGGATTTGGAGCAAAGTGCTATTGCTTCTTATGTACAGTAGGGGGCACACCATCTGCTCTCCCTGTAGACTCCTTCTCTAACTAGATACTTGGTTTGTCTTCAGATCATGTCATTTTAATGACTAGGAGAGAGAGAATATGTTCCTACTACTTGATCCCTATCACCTTTCTCCTGAATCTAAATTCTTCTGGGGACAAATTTTTCATTCCACACTTTAGGATTAAAGGCATGGAATGGAAATGTTTGGTTGAATTAATATATTAAAATTCATTCAAGTATTGTCTTAAGTTTGTCAGCCAACAAGATGTAGATGATAGATATAAAATTCTTTTTTATAAAGGGAAAGAGAAGAGAGGATAGATAGGCAGGCCTTTGAAATGGAAGAGGGGTTATCAGTGGGACAGATAAAGAGTAAAGAAAAAGAATAAAAGGAAAGCTGGGTATGATAAAGACAAGCCTTACAAGCTTTACCATAGTACATAGGATTGTCTCCACTTGCCTTCAGTTTTCTCTGGCCAAATAAGCCTTGCATTGGGGTATTTATATCATGCATGTCCCTCCATGTGTCCTCTACCTCAGAGGCATTACCATTAAGCCATGTTATATACATGATGACAACATTTGATTTGATTTTAGTTCATATGCCTGATCTCATTTTAAGGCATACCCTTTCTATAAAATTTATTGATATATCACACACAGAAAAATTATAAAAGCAGAATATGTAGTTCGTTGCAAAATTGCTAAGTTAATCAATTTTCTTCATGAAAAAGCCAATCTTTTTTTTTGGGGGGGGGGGAGGAATCTTGCACTAGGAAACAGATGAACTAGTTTCTACAACTGACTCCATTTCCGCTTCCACTCTTGTCACTTAGCTTATTCTCCCCAACGGAGCCAACACATTTCTTTGAGAGATAAATTAGATCATATGACTACCCTGCTTAAATGGCTGTCACAACTAGAATGGGTTCCAGAGTCCTTTCCCCTGTCTTGTAAAACCATCCATGGCCTTGCCTTCATCTTCATCATAGGCCTCATCAGCAGGTAAGGTTTCAGGAGAGCCAAGAAGCGGGTAACCAAGCACACACGCCTGGGAGAGAGCTTGGCATCGCTGGGGAATGGTTTGAGTCTTAAGGTCAGCTGAAGGAGATGGTGAGATGGATGTGTTAGGAAAAACTGAATCTGTAAAAGTAGGTTGGGTCAAGTTGTGCCCTCCTGAGGAATTCACATTATATTCTCTAAAAAAATAGACTCTCCAAAGGTATGAGTATGAAAAAGGTGATAAAATGTGTTTTTTAAAAATATTGCTGCTGCCCTGGTCAGGTTGCTTAGTTGACTGGTGTGTTGTCCCATGCACCAAAAAGGTTGCGGGTTCAATTCCTGATTGGGGCACGTATGGGAGGCAACCAATCGATGTGTCTCTCTGACATCAATATTTCTCTCTCTAAAGTCAATTTAAAAATCATATCCTTGGGTGAGGATTTTAAAAATATATACTAGTATACAACTGGTAGGGTAGAGAGAAAAATATCTGGATACAACTCTTAAGAGATACTTTAGGGACTTTTCATTAGGGCTGTCACTATCTTAATTAGAAAATAATACATCTGTTAATCCTATTAAAAACAAAAATACATCTATCACGAGTAATTTGTATAAGAAAGGAAATCATATAATTTAATTTCTAAATATCCTATATAATAAAAGGCTAATATGTAAATCAACTGAATGGTGGAACAACTGATCGCTATGATATGCACTGACCATCAGGGGCAGACGCTAAACCCAGGAGCTCAGCCAGAAGCCAGGCTCATAGCTGACAAGTGCAGGGGTGGTGGCAGAAGCCTCTTCCGTCTCCACAGCAATGCTAAGAATGTTCAGCTGCCAGCTTAGGATATCTGACTGCTGGGGAGGTCGGGGAGTGGGCCTAAGCTGATAGTTTGACATCCCCTGAGGGACCCGGACTGCGAGAGGGTGCAGGCTGGGCTGAGGACGGACCCTCCTTCCCCCCACTCCCCGCCCCAAGTGCACAAATTTTATGCACCAGGCCTCTAGTACTTTAATAAAGCTAGGGGAAAAGAAAAGAAAATTGTAATTTTAACATTTTACGTAATTTATAGCTTATAATGTGTCAGCATGTAGTGAACATGCTATACTATATCTTCAATGAATTCAGCAAGTTCTCTGCAGAGGAATATTGTTCTGTGATGGCTGTTCAAAATCTCAGAACCCATTCAATCATCTCAGGAGTTCTTATAATAGGAGTAAATGTTTAAATGTGAGTTATTCAGTAAAAAATACAATTAATCAATAGAGGGAAGGGCAGGATGTAGTTAGCCACTGGGAGGTAATTGTATCATCTTTGCGTGTTTGTGTTTGAAGGACAGCGTGTCTCATTTTTAAAAATGTGGTATATCTTTTCACAGCATTGTGTGAAATTCAGTTCCTTTTTAATAGATGAGTGATACAAAATGAAATGAATCATTTTATTAGTATGACTTTATTAGCATAATCTTCATATTACCTTTTTTAGTTGTAGACTTGGAGTTTGATGGGGGAGGCAGAGTGTAACATGGCTTTCAAAAGTAACCAGTAGCTTCTGTCTTCATATTTTTTGTACTCTCCATTAGATCATATAAACAAGTATTAAATTTGATAACCAGTCATTAAATCTAACTTTTTACCACATCCTAAATGGTCAAGATACTTGATTTAGACAACATCATAACATCATTCTAATGACTTCAGTATTGGTTATTAGATTTGTCCAGTTAACTTTCATGCTTTTACATTTTGAATATTATTTAAAGAGCTGTATTTTTGCATTTACTTTGCATATCTTTGCCAAGTGTATGTGTGTGTATGTATATATATATTCCTTTAACCAGGAATAAAAAAATTAACTCTTAAAATTAGGAGGTATTTTTCTAGTTAAATTTTATTGGTTTAAACATTTCAGTATTTCTTAAGATTTAATTTTTACAGGGAAGTACAAAACTTCAAATAAATTTACTGAAATGTAAAATGAATTCTGCCTTGGTCATAATTTCACCAAAGATTCTGCGATTATAACCAGTTGTAGAAGGTAGATTACAAGTAAGTTGGAAACAAGATGATTCTTATATTTCAAAAGAAAACATTTTGGCAAAAATTAGGAATCAGAATGACTCTCAATAAAGACAGTTGATGTTAAAAGGGGGTTTCCATTTTAAGGAAGCTAAAATGAACTTCAAAGATCTTTCTCATCGCATCAGAATTGGCAGAGTGTTCTGTTAGTATTACATAATGAACTTTAAACTGTTAATTGAAAAAGAATGTTTTATTGAATGCTGATTTCAAACCTCCAGAAATCCAAGATGTAAGTGTAGATTTTGGAATGGGTGAAAGGAGTGAATTTATTACAATAAATATAATCTACTTAATAGAGAATTAACTAATTTTCTGTAGACAGATCTCTTTAAATGTAGTTTATGGTACCAAACAGAAAAATATTTTTATTATGCAATTTTTAAAAGCAAGAATTTGTTGAGTATGAATTGAGGGCATGTGCATTGTGATGGAAAACACAGTTTTTGGGTCCAGAAGGCC